ATGACTAAAATGATCTATCAGTAATGATATTAAATGCCACTAGGACCGATTTTAGATAAGAAGTTGAATTCAATTAGCAGCGAATGAATCTTTATTCCAATATTGTTTATTCACTATACTAGTATGCAGCTCTGGATTGGCATGCCACATTCAATAGGACAATGCTCAGGAACCAAATAGTAAGGTCTTATAATTTTAAAATATTCATGAGGTAGTGATAAACAATAATCTAGTCAAGGTGTAGAGAGGGGTTTTGAAGAAAACTCGAGTTAAAAAAGAGTATAAGTGCTTAAGTGCACTAGCTCAAAAAACAGCTTCAACATAATGAGGTAGTTCGAGAATTACTTTTTATTTCAGTTCTCATAGTTTTCGATAGTTTTTTTCGTAGGATTGCTGATTGATCTGATTGCTGATCTTAAAATCTTCTTCCCGAAAGATTATAAGCTAAATGGATAAGTCAGAAGAGTCTTATAAACTTTAACGCTTGATCTGTACTTTAAAAACAATAAGATAGCCAGAAATTATAGTGAAACTCTTATTTATAATCTATGAAATTATAGTGAAATCTCTGAGATATCACTAAGTTGAATTTTGACGCAAAAGAAACTATCCGATAGCTTATACTTAATGTCAGAATACACAAACTTTACTCTAAATATATTTATATGACTTTTAAAGCACTTTAAAACACTAATCCATTTAAATTGAAAATACTAAGAAGATAATAACGTCAGTATTCATCTTATGTGCATTTAATTAACATATATTTAGAGAAAAATTGAAAAACCGATGAGTGTATAGTAACTAGATTTGTTCTAAAATATAAAATAAAATATAAAGCAAAATTGGAAATCCCATGAAGTTAGAAGACAGGTTATGAAAACTCAAATCTTTGCTCCAGTTATGATTAAGAGGGAATTAGAACCATTCTAAATAAATTTAGGAAGGTTTATATTTATATACAAAAATCCAAATCTTACACCATTTACTTGATAGATAGAAACTAAATATTGTGATATCTCTGCTATACTTTTCTCTTTAAGCAAATATACTTAAATACATCAATAAACACCGACTCAAGAAATTTAGCAGATATATCTTATAATTTAACAGGGAATAAAGGCCTCGTTTCAAATATGCGACAGTACAATTTTCCAGTGTAGGGTTTTCAAATTAGTTATATTTATATAATGTAATTTAATTTCAACAATTCTGTTAAAATCTTCAATATATCAAATCACAAATTACTAAAATATCAATTATTAACGTTGTGTAATTCTTAAGATATTTTCAATTTAAAAAAAAATCACTTACATATTTATAGTCGTTCAACGTTACAGTAATTACGTTGTTTAATTCATTCAGATAAAAAGTATAACTCATCTTATATCTGGTATATAGTCACACCATTATACCAGTTATTATACACCTTTATATGCTTGGTATTGATAATCTTGTGGTTTTGGCAATGCATTCCTATCTCTTAAGAAGAATTGATCTTAGGAATGCACTCTCATCTAAATTAAGAAGAATTATAATATATGAAAATAAAGTAAAAATTATTACAACTATCTGGAAACCAAATAAATGGGCGACATATATCCACCTCTAAACGATTATGAATTCATTTGAAAAGTATAAATTGTCTATAATTCAAGTGAGTGTAAATATCAGTGGAAATATCGCTACTAAAATTGCGGGGAACACCTTAGCAATTCATAGATTTATATCAGTTTTACTTGTTATTCGATGTACATATTTACATGTACTGAAAAATTACTGGTAGTAGTTTCATGGGCGTAACTGCAAATATGTTACTTAATAACAGAAAAGGTTAGAGGGTTAATAAAAATGGTTTTTAATAGTTAGGGTAAAATTGATTAAGTAATTAAATACCAAGTAATTAGTGTTCTATTTATAAAAAATTTAATATAAATTTATAAAAAGAAACTGAAATTGTGAGCATTAAAAAAATGTAATAAACTGAATACAAAAAATTTAAAATAAGAAAATATGGAGACAGAGCTAATAAATATGTATAGTAGTGAAAATAAAAAACATGTGTTTCAATAAAAAAAATTTAAAAACAATAAAAAATTTTAAATATTCATAAATGCATCCATATACAATAAATTTTAGGTACTACCGTTCTCCCCACTGAAAGGTAAAAGTTTTAGCAGTACATGTGCAGGAAAACAAAAAGGCCCATTAAACGGGTTTAAGCTGTACTGCAGGTGTGAGTACTTTTATCATTTATATAAAAATATTTTTAATTTTATTTTATAATACATATTTCAAACTTGAATAAAGCAAGTAAAGGCAAAGATATTTTTGTAGTTATATCTTTTTAAAATATTTCTCTTGTATATTCAGAAATAACCCATTGGTTCTTAAAACTTCTATTTATTTAATTGTTCGTATTTAATTTTTAAACATTATTTTTTAATGTTATGTGTTGTCAAATTATTCATACATATATTCTAATCTATTCTAATTCTATTCTAATAAGTTAAGAGGGCGCCGGATGATACAATTATTAACAGTTCCTATCGGAGATATATACTGCCCATTGTGATACCCCCATATACACCTCATCAATTTACCTCTTAATACCACAGAAATCGCAAAATAAATTATTATAAGTGTGAAAAAAAGTACAACAATACCTATTACTGAAACAAGTCATTATGGTCTGAAATATTACCTTCATAAATTATAATCATTTGCAAATCCGGAATGCAGATTATGCCTCGAAGATGAGGAAACTACCATACATATTCTTTGTGTCTCTCCAGCTTTAATAACGCTCAGAAGAAAGTTGTTTCATATGCAATTTCTGTCACCAGAACAGATAAAGAACTCTTCTCTAGATTTAGTTCTGAACTTTGTTCACAAAGCTTTAAGGGGCTTTGTGTAATCAATAGTGAAATTGGTGTAATAAGACTCTTCTGGCCGCAGTGTCGGCTGTTGGGTGATTTTAATTTTAAAAATTTTAATAATAATAATCAGTTGCTTCTATTAATAATGAAGATAACTTAAAAAATATAATTTTTAATCAGAACAGCAATTGTAAGAACATAATTATTATTATAGAAAAATATATTAGTAATACCAACACCGAATTAGTCGGTTCTACTAAAATAAATACATAAATAATTTATTATTGTTAACAATTTAAAATGCGAGGAGCAACTCGATATGAAAAGTTATTATTATAATCTTTAATCTTTTTTCAGTTTAATTATAAATCATAGCAGTTAGTCAAAATTAGTATCTTAAATGAGTTCTCGAAAGGGGCGAATAAGTAGTCTAGAATATATACTCGTGGGGAAAAATGAGTTTACGTTAAGGTTTTTTTTCCTTATCAGAGAAAGATATACAGAATACCTATAAGAATTATTGCGAAATCGAAATTTTTGCATGATTATTCAGATTAAGATTAATTGAGATATGCAGATCTGAGGTCAATTATTGCTTAGTCTAATGAAGTGATAAACAATGATCCAGTCAAGACGCAAAGAGGGGTTTTATAGAAACCTCGCACTTAATAGAGAGTAAAAGTGCTCAGGTGCACTGACTCAACTCAACTAGCCTCAACATAGTAGTGAAAAGATGCAGGTAAAAGCTAATACTGATTTAACTGTTTCTATATTGAAATATATATTTTTACTTTATTTTTTGTTTTTTATTTCATTTACATTTTGTTATAAATTTGTTGACATTATGTTTAAGATGTAATTATTATTATATTTTAGTATTGAGACATAGAACGCATACTCTTAGTAACAAAACAGCAATGGATTTGCAAAGTCGAGAACTCTGATTTTCAACTCTGACGAAAAGTTCGATGAGCTGAAAAGTTAAATTCTTTAGTTCTTAAGACGATGTAGTGCTACAATAGAAAAGCTTAACAATGTTTAATTAAAATTACCCCTTCATATTCAGTATACAATTATACTTAATTCTTTATCAACAGCGGATATAGTAACTCCATAGAGTGAAAACCTAACGCGAGTTTCATCCCACACCTAACTTAGCATTGACATTCACTTAAACCTTATTGCTCTCTGTATATATGGCTTAGAAAAATGTATCTATATAAATAATAATATGTATAAAGTTTTTTTAATTTGTTTCGCTCTCTGTTTATAGGAATAGAATTCCGGGGTGTGTTGTTAAAGGGTTCACAATAAAACTTTCGATGCTTTTCACACGATTTGAAAAACGCACTTAATTGTTTATAAATTCCTTTAATTGTAATCTTGTAAAAATATTTTATTTGTTTATAACTTCAAGTTTCATTTTCTTTAAGTTATTTTAAGTTTTATTTATTTTTAACTTTTTTTATTTTATTTTATTATATTTCCCGTAATTGAAATTCACTTGTGATTTATTGGATTCAGAAAGTTAACAACTTTACAATAATTACAAGCTTCAGTGATTTATCAAACAACAAATAACAGATTCTAGTTTAGTTGACTAGATTTCTATCAGTTACGCATACACACTTATATATACTCATATATTTATATATACATATGTATATACTAATTTTTATATACTAAAATTAAACGACTTTAATTAGTTATGCACAGGTGATTTTTTTTTTTAATTCGAAATATTTTTTTGTATAAAATTTATTCATTTAATTGTATTCGACGTTTTCAGCTACTCGTTTAAGCGCGTTTATTTGAATTTTTACTACTTTTATTTGAATTAAAAATTTTATTTGCTCTAAATTGCTGCAAAAACACACTCGAAGTCAACAACAAAACAGTTTAAACGACTTGTTTAAATAAATGGTTAAGAAAAAAAGTATTTAGGCACAAACAAAATATTTTGAAAACTTTTTAAAAGGTCGGCGAGAATTTTTTTAATTTATTCACTTTGAAATTTTTTTATTAAAATGCATAAACACGTACCAATTTCATAATTTTTTTTTTAAATATGTATGCAAGTATTTAATGATACTTAATCACAATTCATATTTAAAAACTTACAATTTTTTTTAATTATATGAAAACAATTAAATTATATTTTTGCACTTTATTTATTAACCAATTTCCTCCACACAACACTTAATAACCTCACCTCAACGAAGTTTTATTTACTACTGTTATGACTCCACTGTAATATTTTATTTATATTTGTTTTTATACTGTCTTTTAAAGAATTTTATCGGAGCACATTGAGTGAAAAACATAGAAACGTTTGTCGATGTTTTTAAGTACAAGCGAAAGAGTAACGAGCAGCTGTTGCGTGCTCTTCACAATTCGCATTCGCTCTTCAGTGGATCAGCATCCATTCAAACAAAATTGTTTGTGTAAATTTGCACATGAAGTTGTTAATCAATCGGTTTGTAAAGGAATTTTCTTGTTCGTTTTTCGGTATTTTTTTTTATTTTTTCTTTGCGGTAGTTTCGCTCCTGTCTGTCTGTTCGTTTGTTTATTATTAAACTTGTGCTTGTTTATAAAAAAATGGTAGAGTACACAAAGCCATGGTCCAGACATAAGCGAGTACGCAAGCAGCCTGTATTGCATTGCATTCGTTGCAGAGGGAATGACGGCAAAAAAAGTAATAAGCACAGTAAAAATTAAAGAAATTCTGTTCAATAGAAAACGCACATTGTGTGAGGTCTTCAATTTGTTGTTATTAATTGCGGTTTAAATCGGATGGTACATTTTCATTTTAGATGGCTCTATAAAGAGCAGAAAAAGTGCATTTTTCTGTTAATTGTAGAACAGTTCGTTAATTTTGGTAAATTATTGTTAATCGGAAATATGTGACGTAAATAGTTAGCGTTTACTCTGACTAGACTTTGGCAAGATTGTCGAATACACTTTCATTTTTTCACTTATAAATACTTATTTTTGTTTGAAGACAAATTTGAAAATATGTTTCAAATTTTGTTTTGAAAATTTTGTCACACATAAAAATATATACCACAATATAGCCAATATATATATCAAGTAAAGGTACACTTGATAAGTACATGATATGTAATTCACTTAGAGATGGTGCATGACCATTAAGTTACGTTCCAACTAATTGGATTTTAACAAGATTTTTCACTATATTTGTATACAAATTTTTGTTTGGAAACAAAATTCGAAAATATTGTATATTTGAGTTCGAATTTAAAAATCTAATTAGATCTAGTGTGGGCGGCGAGAAAAGAGAACATTTTCTGTCAATGTCATTATAATACAAACCAAAAACTGAACAATATTAATATATTTACTTTCTTTAACCGAAGGTCGACTAAGCTTTAGAAACAGAACGTACAAATGCCAGGACATTGTTTGTAAACTGATTACAATATTCCTACATATTTGTTAAGTAATACACCTGACATTGTGTCAAGTGTATCCCCGAAATTTTGCCAGTACAAACTTCTAAATGCTCTCAATGTACGGAAATAAAAAACTAGTAATAACTAGTATATACTCGAAATATTGGAAACCACTTATTGATTCTCTTTATTGGTTAATTAAAAAGGAAAACATAGCTTGCTAAGTATCATGGAGTTAAGGATAATGATGCCGTATAACTTAAAAGTTAAGATGCTATTTTATTTCGAAGTCTCAACAGATTCGGAGAATTGAACACAGCAATTGTATCACTCTAAAGAAGTATTCATTACTTTCAAAATTATGTTCTCTGCAACAAAAAATATTAAACAATTATTGTTAAAGAGACTTGAACGATATGTGTTTCTACATTTTGTTCGTTTTTCCAATTAGCCAAACTATCGAAAAAGCAATATCAATTCGATGTTCAACATTTTCTTTGACACTGACCGCGATTAGTTTTGAAGAAAACTCAACATTTTGATACCTAAATTATATATGTTTTGCGTTACATTATATAGCAACTTTATATAAGCACCACCGTTTTGTATATATGTTTACAAAATGGTCATGTTAATATGTTATTATGAATGTAATATTTTATTACTTCTCCTCTTTAATTCATTATATATATAATTCTATTGGATTTCGTACAAATTAATTATATCGCATACTAATCAATTGGATTTGGCCTTGAAACAAATATCAAAGACAACCCTGCGTTTTTTTATAACAAGCCTGGTGTTATGAATCGGCTATAATTCTAATTACATTGCATTCAACATAAGCCAAATCATAATTATTACTATATTTAATAATATATGTTACATATCAAGATATAAGAATCAGTTTAAAAGTGATTTCATTATAATTCCATATAAATAATATATTTCATTTTTAATATTTACTCTGCTGACCTTGCTTAATATAATCGTTATACAACACTAAAAAGGGAAATTTTTGAAATATCCCATAACCTACGAACTTGTCAGAAAATTGCACAAATAAATAACAAAATCTACTGAAAAACTTCTATAAAGTAGCGTATGTGCTAATAATTTTAAATAAAATAAGTAGTTATTTATGTTGTAAAATAAAAAAGTAATTTAGATACGTGCTTAAGGCATTGAAGTAAAACGCGCTTAACAATGGGCGAGAATTGCGCGAAAGGTGCAACGCAGAAAATAATTGAAAACAAGGATGCCGATACCAGAGAATTAAACGAGATTTGCAATTTATTATGGGGACCAAGTATACGAAGGGATGTCTTTAGTAGATGGTCGCAAGGTGGGTGGAAATGGGTTAATGTTGCATATATGCACTAGTTGCAAGCTGTGGGGGTGTTTCAACTAAATTACTTGCAAGCGCGTAGTAATCATGCACCACCGCATGCATGTACCGAATTTTGTAAAGTTTTTATTCTACTGGTGGCAATTCATAATTTCATTTCAATTTTCAGGCTTCGTATTTAGTGAAGTTGAACCTTCAGCATTAGTACAAAAACAAGGTGGTCCTTGCGCTGTGATTGCACCTGTGCAAGCTTTTTTAATAAAAATTCTTATTATGGATACGCCGGGTCATTCCTTGAAAGATGTAAATGTTACATATAACATAACAATTTTATATTACACATTAATGTACAATATATTATTTTTAATGATTCCAGCTGACAGATGACAAATGCAAAAAGCTGCTGATAAAGGCGCTGTGTAATATTCTGCAAAAATGTAAAGCGCAAAAACAGAGAATCGTGTATCTGCCGCAGGATTCATTTCAAACAGAAGCCAAAGAAACATGTAATGCTAATACAGTCGTTAATGTTGACAACCAAGACGCTTGTACGACAGCTAAAGGAGAGGCAGATAAAGTAGCGGCTGCTGAGCTGTCACCTGAGCAATTTCATAATCAAATTCAGGTGCTTAATTTTCGAACGGTGGAAGAAGTGGAAATGTATTACACTGAAAACTTTCATGTGCTGTCGGCACAATTTGGCGTACTGCTATTTATGTATACTGTGTTATTAACAAAGGTATTATTTCATAAAAAAAAGAAATTCATACAGTGGAGATCGGTTTTTAAGGTGTTGACTGTAAATAATCAAGAAAAAGAGCAATGAACAAGTTAAGAATGGTACATGCTATTGTAAGTTAATTTGTTTTAGTTTGGCAGGTCCCACTGTATTCTCTTTCTGTTATAAATAAGTATATTAAACACGAACTATTTCACAGGGTATAGATAACGTGAATTCTGAGCTCTCCGACACATCAGAACCGCTCATACATAACACTTACGGCTATGGTTCACAGGCTTTAATAAATTTAATGTTAACTGGTCGAGCAGTTGCACATGTTTGGGACAACGATCAGGATGTTGGTGGTTTGAAACTACGGGGCATTAATGAACAAAGCGATATTGGTTTCATAACGTTGATGGAACAAATGCGTTATTGCACTGTAGGTTCGTTTTATAAAAATCCATGTAATCCAGTTTGGGTTATGGGCTCCGAAACGCACTTGACTGGTTCGTAAAAGACTTAAAATTTATTCTTAATACTTTAAAAATTCTAATAAAAATTAATATTTATATTACAGTGTTATTTAGTACTGAAAAGAGGCTGGTTTCGCCGGAAACTCCTTCAGAAATAGCGAGGCGAGTTTTTAAATCGTTCGATCCTGACGGCAACAATTTTATAGCTGCGCCTGTATTGCAAGATGTAATGGCAACGTTGGATTTGGTTAGTGAACAGGAATAGTATGTTTATTTTCACTATTTAGTAGAAGAGTTAGTAAAAAACTTTACATCTATCGCATATCTTTTCATAGTGTGGAAATAATGCAAAAACGTTTAGACCCTGAAGGATTGGGGATAATACTTTTAAATGCATTTATGGATGAATTCTTTCCACGGGAAAAACGTTCTACACCAGATACATTTGATTTAATGCACTATAATGGTATACCAGGTTCAAATGAAGGAAACAAGGTTTGTCTTTATTATTTTCTTAAAGTATACATGTACTTGGTCTTGGGGGTTGTAGTTGAAGAATTTCTATTTAATAGTTTAACTTTTGTTGGATATTAATGTGAACTAGAGTTAAAATATTGCTGTTATTGTCCTATTAGTAGTGAGTCACACTTGCCGAATGTCAGTACTTATGCCTTTAATTATTAGTTATACTTTTGTGATAGATTAAGCACTTAATGCTTGCGTGAGTGAAGTAGGGCAATTCATATGCAGTTTACATTTTTTAATGTATAATTAATCATATATAATATTGAATGATATTGGGTGATTTTTGTGATGCCTTCTCTTAAATAGATATAGATGCTAAAAATAATTTTTAATAATACATAATTGTATTATATATAATTATATATGTTAACGTTATTTTGAGTATATTGATTTACTATTAATTTATTTTAATTATATTAGTTTTATAGGTGGGGCTTGTTTTAAATGTTTTAGCTTATTATGGTTATCTTTGGGGATCCACTTAGGTTTGTCAGTTATTATTATTATCTGTTATCATTTTTGAATATTTAGGATGTTACAATCACATAACTGATATTTACCAAAAATAAAAGAGAGTACATATATTTTTGCTCCACAACTATTTTAAAATGATACTCATTCCTCGTTATTATTAAACTTATCACTTCTTTATTATAGGTACGCTATTACAGGGGATCTGCCATTTTACTTGAAAGCGATTTAAAATCGGTTTGTGTGTCGAATCCCATGATGACATGCTTACAAACGAAATGGCCAAATATTGAAATAAACTGGCACGATATGCGAATACCATCACTAAATTGACCTAACCACACATTACCAACATCAACCAATAGATTAACAACATTAGATAAATTGTGCAACAATAAACACCGCATGCCGTAATGAGGAGACCGTGTTAAAGTAGCTGCTTTAAATGAAATCAAATTTATTTAATATATTTTCTTTCATATGATTTTAATTTTGATTAAATAGTGACATTAGCTAACCGAAGGAAAATTTAACGAAACCTTTATTGTAATTCCTATTAACATAATGCAAATGTGTTGTTAAAAAATATTACTAACACGAATAATAGACATACAATGTAGTTTCTTTATTAAATGTTTTCTGATCAAACAAAAAAACAAAAAAAAAACCAACAAGCAAAGAAGTAAAATGTTATAGAAACTATAATTATACTAACTGAAGGATGCTTATTTAAAATATCATTTCAACAAACTCATATTAAAATTAATAAACCACTGACACTAAAAGACACGTCACATAAATACAGTCCATAGGTATTTGAATTATACATACAAACTTATTAGTATTAACGAAATATATATACAATATTGTATAACACGAAAGAATTCTTTATTTATAATAAAAACTGAAAACTGATATTCATTTCATATCGAAGACTAATTGGAAAATTTTACGAATATATTATTTTAATATTTTATAATTGTTAATAAACGAAATTAATATAATTTATGTATTATGGCCTTCAAAAATATTAAAATGAAAATTGTTTATAATTCTTTATTGTTAAAAAACAATATGAAGTGAAACGTAAAAGTATGTATATTCTCATTGTAACAACTAATTTTAAGCATAAAAACAAAAACTGTATATTTGACATTAATTACAATAGAAAGTGCACGTTAATCAGGTTTATTACGCATTTAATCTTTTAAATTCTAATAAATAAAATTAATAAAAAAAGATTGCAGATAATAATAAAATTCAATTTAAAAATGCATTTTCTATATTAATGGTTTAATATTAATTTATTTAGGGTATTTGGACGGCTTTGGTATTGGCCTTTATCCCGACGGTAAAGGTACTGAAACTAATATATGTCCACATCACGCAGTCTTGGAAATCGTTCTGTATTCAAAAATTTAACACAATATATGAACAATGAATGATATGCAGACATCTGTACCCAAATTGGCCCCTCTTAAAAATAAAAAAAATCTACCAATATCATTGATATACTGCTGGACCGTTATCTGATAAGTCTGTTATTCTGGTAAGGATAACATGCTAATGTTGGGTTTGCGGACCCCTCAGTTAAGTTAGGTAACCATACTATAAGATCTCATCTTCCATTTTATGATACTGTGAAGAGTTGTGAATAGGACAAAGAAAAAAACTGTCTCACATCTGCTTTCTCACTGTCCAAAGCATATTCACTTTCTAAGGTATTCACTTTCTAGAGGATCTTTGTGACCTCTAGAAAATGAATTTAAAAGAGAAGAGATATTCAAAGAGATATTCGAGTGTAATATCGTAAAACAGCTCTAACTTGTAATTGGTAACAGAAATCAGGGTTCGAGACTCCTAGTGTAGTCGAACAGTTTGACTATAGCTTATATTGTTGTAGCTTGAAGAGACTCTTGGTATTGTTTTTGTTGTAGAGAGAGAGAGAGAGAGAGGGAGAGAGAGAGAGAGAAGTAGCGAAAGGGAAATTGATTAGATTAGGGACTCAGTGAAGTAAACGTGGTTGCTTCTGGTAACTTTAGCATAAATTACGTGTGCTGGCACACGATAGTATGCTCTGGTAGCTCTGAGATCATGAAAACATACAACACAGTAATCTTGTAGACTTTAGAAAATAAATCATTGTGCGGGCGGCTATAACAACAAAAGCTCTTAGGTAACAAAAAGCACTCATGGTCAGTATACGTAGAATCTGTCGCAGAGTTGCCCATTAATCTAAACTAACATAGCTGAAATATTAAAAACATTTTATTTGGTTTTTAAATTTAAGTGAACTTAGATGAACCATAACTAACTGTAATAGTCTACTGAAAGTCTTGATGTGTTAATAGCATATTTATTGCTAACTAAACTAACTATAGTAAGTTTAAAGAACTTATTGCTCTCTCTCTTTCCAACCAAAATAAATAAGGATAAAAAGTAAATATTGTTGATTTTTAAAGAATATGTTTTTTAAATATTTAATTGAATAAATCACATGCGCTGCATTTGCAATTTAAATAACATCAACACTTGTGAAAACAGACTTTTAAACACACAAAATACCAAATACGTCGTCCATGTGATTATAATAAATAATACAATATTATTTGAGAATTGGCAAACTGTGACTTTAAGCTTTTTGCAGACATTGCGTTCTCTCTAAACAAATAAGGAAAGCAAAACGAAGTTCTAAGTACATATAGATTTTGGTATAAATATCTACGAATTTCAAGCTACTATCTATTACTTAAAATCCACTGGAATACATAGAACAGATCTAACTACAATGAAGTTAAACTTATTTTTATTTTTTACGCTTTTAGCAATCTTTGCTGTACAAATCAAGGCTCAGGAATATGATTATGAATATGTTGATGAAAATGTAGATGAAGCATCTGGTGAAGGCCCTCCTGGTGAAGGCCCTCCTGGTGAAGGACCACCTGGTGGCCCCGATGGCGGATCTGAAAGTTGCGAAGAAGGCGGGCCAGGTGGACCTCCCGATGGCCGTGAAGGAGGACCTCCCGGTGGACCTGAAGGCGGCCCACCAAAACAAGGTTCTCCACCTCGCGCTGAACAAGGCAGAGCTAACCAAGGTAGACAAAGGGGTGGCAGTAAAACAAGCGGAAGAAAACCAGCTGCCAGCAATAAAAAAGCTAATCGCAGACAAGGAAGTACAGCTAAGAAAAATAAAGCAGCAGCTCAACGAGCTGGCGGTCGTGCAAATAGATCTAAGGCTTCAAGAAACAATAAGGCAAGACGTGGATAATCACGTTTAACTGACAGATTATTCAGAATTTGTTGTGATTTATTTATAATAAATTTGTGTTCTAAGTGAAAAATGAATGAAAATAATAAATGTTTATAAATATATTGATCTTATATTTAATCTTTAAATGACAAATGACGTATTGTTTGATCAATGCTATTAAGGGGGTTTAAACATATATTAGTTGTATGAATCAAATGAGATTAAGAAGTTTCCATTAAAAAAATTTAACCTTTAATATTTTGAATTACTTTACAATCTTCGATGGGTGAGGGGAAAACGGATTTTTTAACTTTGTTCGGTCTCAATATTTTACGGTTAAAATATGTTTCGAGTTCAACAATTCTCAGTCAAAATCAAGACATTTTGGCTCAGCCTGACAAAATAAAGGTTAATTCCCTAAATAAACATATTCGTTTATTCGGTTATTTATTTTACTATTTAAAAATAAAATTTTTCACATACTTGTATGCAATATTTTGTAAATATATTTCACAAAAATATTCTTTATTTAATTAAGATTTACAAGTCGTATAACACCTTTTGGAGTATTTAAACAGTTTAGCTGAATACCCTGAGTAAGAGTATAAAAGGCAACACCATTCAAGAAGGGTTGGCAAGAATAGTTCGAATTTACATCTTATAAATACGAAATAATATAACGAAATGAAATTCTATCCTCTGGTGTTATTAATGAGTTCAGTGTTTCTCTTTGGCACAATCAAAACAGACAATAGTGAGAGCCGCGAATCAATTAGGGCTATTGCTTATCGAATACCAAAACGAATAACTACGACTACAAGACGCTTAGTTACCCGGAAAACTGTAATTAAAAGCAGTGAGAGTGACAGTGAGTCTATTGAAATTAACAAAAGTATAACTAAACGTCCCACGGTTATAACAACTAGTTCATCACCTACTAAGACAGTAAGTCATGAGAGTAGTACAACTGCAAATAACAATAATATAGAACCCAGAAATGACGCACTGCCTGTGATTGAAGGACCAAACCTTGATCCAAATAGAAGTGACGATAATGAAGAACAAATTGGAAGCAATGAGAGTGACGACAAAAGCGTTGCAGAAACAGTAAATGAAACACTGCCAGAAATAAATGGGTCAAGTCAAGAAGATGATCCAAATAAAAGTGACGACAAAAGCAATGCAGAAACAGTAAATGAAACACTGCCAGAAATTAATGGGTCAAGTCAGGAAGATGATCTAAATAGAAGTGACGATAATGAAGAAGAAATTGCAAGCCATGATAGTGATGCAGAAATAGTAAATGAAACACCGTCAGAAATTAATGAGTCAAGTCAGGAAGATGATCCAAATGCAAGTGACGATAATGAAGAACAAATTGCAAGCAATGACAGTGACGATAAGAGCGCTGCAGAAACAGTAAATGAAACACCGGTAGAAATTAATGAGTCAAGTCAGGAAGATGATCCAAATAAAAGTGACGACAATGAAGAACAAATTGCAAGCAATGAAAGTGATGATAAGAGCGCTGCAGAAACCGTAAATGAAACACCGTCAGAAATTAATAGGTCAAGTCAGGAAAATGATCCAAATAAAAGTGACGACAATGAAGAACAAATTGTAAGCAATGACAGTGACGATAAGAGCGCTGCAGAAACAGTAAGTGAAACACCATCAGATAGATATGGGTCAAGTCAGGAAGATGATCCAAATAGAAGTGACGACAAAAGCATTGCAGAAACAGTAAATGAAACACTGCCAGAAATAAATAGGTCAAGTCAGGAAGATGATCCAAATAAAAGTGACGACAAAAGCAATGCAGAAACAGTAAATGAAACACTGCCAGAAATTAATGGGTCAAGTCAGGAAGAGATCTAAATAGAAAGTGACGATAATGAAGAAGAAATTGCAAGCAATGATAGTGATGCAGAAATAGTAAATGAAACACTGTCAGAAATTAAAGAGTCAAGTCTTGAAGATGATCCAAATGCAAGTGACGATAATGAAGAACAAATTGCAAGCAATGACAGTGACGATAAGAGCGCTGCAGAAACAGTAAATGAAACACCGGTAGAAATTAATGAGTCAAGTCAGGAAGATGATCCAAATAAAAGTGACGACAATGAAGAACAAATTGCAAGCAATGACAGTGACGATAAGAGCGCTGCAGAAACCGTAAATGAAACACCGTCAGAAATTAATAGGTCAAGTCAGGAAAATGATCCAAATAAAAGTGACGACAATGAAGAACAAATTGTAAGCAATGACAGTGACGATAAGAGCGCTGCAGAAACAGTAAATGAAACACCGTCAGAAATATATGGGTCAAGTCAGGAAAATGATCCAAATAAAAGTGACGACAAAAGCATTGCAGAAACAGTAAATGAAACACTGCCAGAAATTAATGAGTCAAGTCAGGAAGATGATCCAAATGCAAGTGACGATAATGAAGAAGAAATTGCAAGCAATGACAGTGATGACAAGAGCGTTGCAGAAACAGTAAATGAAACACCGTCAGAAATTAATGAGTCAAGTCAGGAAAATGATCCAAATAAAAGTGACGATAATGAAGAACAAATTGCAAGCAATGATAGTGATGCAGAAATAGTAAATGAAACACTGTCAGAGCTTAAAGCAAAAAGTCTTGAAGAGAATACAAGTGAAAGTGACGACAAGGGAGTACCAATTGATAGCAATGATAGTAAAGATATAAGCGTTTTACAACCACGAATTGATATAGTGGCAGTAATTAAAGACTAAGTCTTGAAGATGATCCAAATAAAAGTGACGATAATGAAGAACAAATTGCAAGCAATGACAGTGACGATAAGAGCGCTGCAGAAACCGTAAATGAAACACCGGTAGAAATTAATGGGTCAAGTCAGGAAAATGATCCAAATAAAAGTGACGACAATGAAGAACAAATTGTAAGCAATGACAGTGACGATAAGAGCGCTGCAGAAACAGTAAATGAAACACCGTCAGAAATATATGGGTCAAGTCAGGAAGATGATCCAAATAAGAGTGACGATAAAGAAGAACAAATTGCAAGCAATGACAGTGACGATAAGAGCGCTGCAGAAACAGTAAATGAAACACCGTCAGAAATTAATGGTTCAAATCAGGAAGATGGTCCAAATAGAAATGACGATAATGAAGAACAAATTGCAAGCCACGAGAGTGATGACAAAAGCATTGCAGAAACAGTAAATGAAACACTGCCAGAAATAAATAGGTCAAGTCAGGAAGATGATCCAAATAGAAGTGACGATAATGAAGGACAAATTGCAAGCAATGACAGTGACGATAAGAGCGTTGCAGAAACCGTAAATGAAACACCGGTAGAAATTAATGGGTCAAGTCAGGAAGATGATCCAAATAGAAGTGACGATAAAAGCATTGCAGAAACAGTAAATGAAACACTGCCAGAAATTAATGAGTCAAGTCAGGAAGATGATCCAAATAAGAGTGACGATAAAGAAGAACAAATTGCAAGCAATGACAGTGACGATAAGAGCGCTGCAGAAACAGTAAATGAAACACCGTCAGAAATTAATGGTTCAAATCAGGAAGATGGTCCAAATAGAAATGACGATAATGAAGAACAAATTGCAAGCCACGAGAGTGATGACAAAAGCATTGCAGAAACAGTAAATGAAACACTGCCAGAAATTAATGGGTCAAGTCAGGAAAATGATCCAAATAAAAGTGACGATAATGGCGAACAAATTGTAAGCAATGACAGTGACGATAAGAGCGCTGCAGAAACCGTAAATGAAACACCGGTAGAAATTAATGGGTCAAGTCAGGAAGATGATCCAAATAGAAGTGACGATAAAAGCATTGCAGAAACAGTAAATGAAACATTGCCAGAAATTAATGAGTCAAGTCAGGAAGATGATCCAAATAAGAGTGACGATAAAGAAGAACAAATTGCAAGCAATGACAGTGACGATAAGAACGCTGCAGAAACAGTAAATGAAACACCGTCAGAAATTAATGGTTCAAATCAGGAAGATGGTCCAAATAGAAATGACGATAATGAAGAACAAATTGCAAGCCACGAGAGTGATGACAAAAGCATTGCAGAAACAGTAAATGAAACACTGCCAGAAATAAATAGGTCAAGTCAAGAAGATGATCCAAATAGAAGTGACGATAATGAAGGACAAATTGCAAGCAATGACAGTGACGATAAGAGCGCTGCAGAAACCGTAAATGAAACACCGGCAGAAATTAATGGGTCAAGTCAGGAAGATGATCCAAATAAAAGTGACGACAAAAGCAATGCAGAAACAGTAAATGAAACATTGCCAGAAATTAATGAGTCAAGTCAGGAAGATGATCCAAATGAGAGTGACGATAAAGAAGAACAAATTGCAAGCAATGACAGTGACGATAAGAGCGCTGCAGAAACCGTAAATGAAACACCGTCAGAAATTAATGGTTCAAATCAGGAAGATGGTCCAAATAGAAATGACGATAATGAAGAACAAATTGCAAGCCACGAGAGTGATGACAAAAGCATTGCAGAAACAGTAAATGAAACACTGCCAGAAATAAATAGGTCAAGTCAGGAAGATGGTCCAAATAAAAGTGACGACAATGAAGAACAAATTGTAAGCAATGACAGTGACGATAAGAGCGCTGTAGAAACCGTAAATGAAACACCGGTAGAAATTAATGGGTCAAGTCAGGAAGATGATCCAAATAGAAGTGATGACAAAAGCATTGCAGAAACAGTAAATGAAACACCGCCAGAAATAAATAGGTCAAGTCAGGAAGATGATCCAAATAAAAGTGACGATAAAGAAGAACAAATTGCAAGCAATGACAGTGACGATAAGAGCGTTGCAGAAATAGTAAATGAAATACTGCCAGAAATTAATGAGTCAAGTCAGGAAAATGATCCAAATAGAAGTGACGATAATGAAGGACAAATTGCAAGCAATGACAGTGACGATAAGAGCGCTGCAGAAACCGTAAATGAAACACCGTCAGAAATTAATGGGTCAAGTCAGGAAGATGATCCAAATAAAAGTGACGATAATGAAGAACAAATTGCAAGCAATGACAGTGACGATAAGAGCGCTGCAGAAATAGTAAATGAAACACCGGTAGAAATTAATGAGTCAAGTCAGGAAGATGATCCAAATAAAAGTGACGATAATGAAGAACAAATTGCAAGCAATGACAGTGACGATAAGAGCGCTGCAGAAATAGTAAATGAAACACCGGTAGAAATTAATGAGTCAAGTCAGGAAGATGATCCAAATAAAAGTGACGATAATGAAGAACAAATTGCAAGCAATGAAGGTGACGATAAGAGCGCTGCAGAAATAGTAAATGAAACACCGGTAGAAATTAATGAGTCAAGTCAGGAAGATGATCCAAATAAAAGTGACGATAATGAAGAACAAATTGCAAGCAATGACAGTGACGATAAGAGCGCTGCAGAAATAGTAAATGAAACACCGGTAGAAATTAATGAGTCAAGTCAGGAAGATGATCCAAATAAAAGTGACGATAATGAAGAACAAATTGCAAGCAATGACAGTGACGATAAGAGCGCTGCAGAAATCGTAAATGAAACACCGGTAGAAATTAATGGGTCAAGTCAGGAAAATGATCCAAATAGAAGTGATGATAATGAAGAACCAATTGATAGTAATGTTCCAAATCGTAGAATAAGAAAACGCAGACGTAATAAATTAATATTTGTATTTGTCAACTCAAACTCAGACTCAGACTATATGTACTAAAAAAAATCTTTAATGAATTATAAATAAAAGATTTTTTCACCAAAGCGAAAAGCTTAAAGTATTGTTTTTAATTATTAAAAACCACATTTAGAAATTTGTGATTGTGGTTGAGATTTTAATCAAATATTAATATTAAAATTTTATTTGATCACTGCGGCTAGATGAAAAATTTTATATCCTTTAAACATTTTCGGCTTTTGATAACATTTTTTATATTTTTTCGGCAAATAGCTGGCTATAGTTGGGCTATAACTTGATGATGGATCATTTTAAAAGTGCAAATAATTTGGATATTCTACCTTTAAACAAAATTTATTGCATAACTCCACATAGAAAGTCTAGTGGTGACGAATCGTATGATATTGAAGGTCAATTTTTTTGGCCTAAAAAATATAAAATCATACGTTCTAGAAATTTCTCAAGCAACCTACAAAGATGTGTAGATACCTATAATTTTACGCCAAAAAGGTTGGTAGCTGACTAAAGCAGTCAGAATTGACGGTTTAACATTTTATGGATGTAATAATCTTTCGAAAAACACATGGATATTCATAGCTGCAATATTTTTGTTTGTTGACGTAGCTTAAAAGCGTTCAATAAATTTTATGACTGAAGAAAATAGAATACATAATATGTCTTATATATAATTATCATTTTTGAGGTAACTTTTCTTGAATATTTTAAAATGGCAAACTTTATATTAAATGTATAATGTCATTGAGTCTTTTTAAAATATGTCACTCAAACAGTTTTACCAAATCAGGACTACGAAATGTGCTTTTCTTTATACGTTATGCGATAGTGGAAAGTGTTAAATGATTGCAGAGTATATTCAACAATATATTTTGACTCTATATAGAAATTAATTTTTGAAGGATTTGATATGACGCAAATAATACCAAACTATATTGTTTGTAATGTTTGCATATCTATCATCTCTGCATTACTATCCACGTACCATCGCACATGCATTCCGATACAAATACGGAACTTTCTAAGACATATAATTTGTTTTCACTCTACATCTCTCATAAGTTCTATATAATTGTTCCCAAAGTAACGTAACGTTTTCCTGTGTTTTATCACCCTAAGTGATTACTCTTACTGCTGAATTCAATATCGATAACTCTGTCGCTACAAAGCATTTTTAACACTATATTACTATAACATTACAACTCAAGGGTTTGTAGTTTGGTTATTGTTACTAGAGTCGAAGTTACTGACGCATATAATAAAAGTGACCAAAAGCAGTACCTCATATATCCCAACCCATGGCTTAAGTTTTAATTTTAGAAGTACATAAATTCCTTTGAGGTATTAAAAATGGTTCCAATAAAAATCTTATCTAAGAATTTCTTTTGTGAATATGAAATACTAAGTATCGATTTTTAAAATAAGGCATATTGTGAGCCAAATACATAACATTTTTAAAAACAGTACTGCTTTGTTTTTAAAGAAATCAAAAACCTGAAACATTTTTGGACTTATATTTATAAATTCATAAGTATATGACCTTATATGTTATATGACAATGACTTTAAGTATTCTATAAATACACAAGGGGTAAGCACACCCAGCTTTTCACAAAAAGATGAATTATTTTTTAAATTTTCTCTCATCTGTTTAAATATTGTTTCGTCGGGATGAAGTTTTGTTAAATTTAATGAAAAAAAAAGTAGTAAATAAAAAAAAATCATTTTAAAACATGTGTAAATATTTAATTCTATTTTTGAACAACATTTTTCCCTCATCCAGTGATGCACTGATGAGTTTTGCTTCCATGACGCAGTAATTTAAATTGTTTACCTCATTTATTGGGAACTTCTTAGTAAAGTAACGTCATATTCTAGAATAAGAATATTGAGTGACGTAAAGCTTTTTAAAAACTATTGACGATTATTCATGACCATAACAAGTCGTTTAGAGATATGAAGTGGTATTTCTTCTCACTTGGGATCTGGGAAAAATTGCTGTTTGTGGAGTTCGTTATCTCTTTTGGTATTAGCTTTGTACAAAGATTTTAGATTATAGTCAGTTAGAACAATATACTTATGCATCATATCAATTTCAATAATGACCTCATTCTGCAACTGACAATTATTTTATTGGCTTATGTTTAATCGAAATTTGGACTATATTCCTCGGTTATATACGTCATATTAAAGATATAAGTCAATCGTATTTTCATACAAATGATATATTAAGTCATAACTTCTCTATAATAAAAACTAACAACCCGTGTAACAGTTGTTAATCAATAATCAAATCAGTTTAGACTCTGAAACCTCATAACATTTTTGTTGTTGACTCCAAAAAATCGTTTGGATTGGCTTAGGTTTCTTTAGACATCGTCAAAGTTTTTGCAAACAGTTTATATTGGACGTTTCTCATTACTAATGTAGTCTGGTACATGTCCTATGAGATGGGTTTTGGTACCCTTCTTCGTTGTTTGATGTTTTGTTATAGTTGTATTTCTTACAAATAACTAAGTGCCCAGACGGTATCTATTTTTTTCGTACTAGACAACTCAAATGTGATATTTTCGCTGCTTCTCACCAACTTGATTTTTTTAATCTAAGAATAAATAGATTTCACAGTTGCTCTGCTCTTCGAATAAATAATAAACTTGTGTTTTTATACACCATTTTTTGACATTTTATAGTACCGGTTTTTTTATGCCATTTTATTCGTGTTTAAGTGAACCCACCACAAAAATTATTAGGCTGTATATAATCCCCGCTTATCCATTTAATTCATTTAGGAATTATTGTGATAAAGTTACTGAAGGAGAATTTCCGTCCTCAAATAGAATATCTGAGAAGTAAAATCAGGATTATTCTTGACAAATGTCAGATTTGAAAATCATTTGTGAGTTCGCCCACAATATAGGACTGCATGCTGGAAGGTTGGAAAGCCGTTCTAATTGTTTGTCATTGTACGAATATCTGTAAATGTTTTATTGTAGAAGTGTTTTCATGGCTCCATGGCCTCTACATATAACGCCCACTTTGAAATGTTTGCATTTTCAATGCCTAATTAAAAGAGTTTAGTAATTAATGTGGAAAATATTTTATGAAATAATTTGAAAATAAAAAAACCATTAACGAGCACACTATTAGGCGTATATATATATCAATCCTTAATTAATTAATAAATTTTATTTGCATGTATTTATGGAATAAAAATGTATTATCAAATATTAAATGAAATTATATTTTTTTATTTCTTTATAATTTCATTCTTAAAAATGCAACAACTCAAAAGAAATAAAATATTTTATATTTATTTGCGCATTAAACGATTTGTAATTTATTTCAATAATTAGCGTGAAAATGTGAACCGAAATCTGCAGAATTGAACTCAGTAAATTTATGTGAAAAATATATTGGTTCGACTTCATTGAATTTAGTCATATAACAAGTTCCAATTGGCGGCCTTTTCTATCTCAGCCATTGATGAAGTGTAACGGATGATTTGTGTTCTTATGTCATTTTCTATTAAAATTAAATTTATAATTTCCTTACGATAATCACGTGATCTATTGATTTCCGGAACAATATCTTTAATACAATTTTAATGAGACTACATTTTTATAAAAAAGAACAAGATATAATGCTAACACTATTTAAAATATATTATCACTAGTTTTTAGGAGGTAAGTCAGTGGATATATGATATGGTAAAAGCATATATATAACGTAGATATAAATAGGACTCAATTGTATACAATAATGATCATTTTAAATATTGGAAAATCTCAATATTTATTTATTTCTATTTGAGCCAGTGCACTTGAGCACTATTACTCTTTCTTAACTCGAGGTAACATATTTTCAAAACTCCTCTTTACGCCTTGACTGGATTATTGTTTATCACTTCATCAGACTAAGCATTGATCTCAGACTAAGCATTGATCTCAGATCTGCATACCTCCCCGAGGTGCTTGTAACTATTCTGAAAACTGATAACGTGGTGTTGGTAAGTCTGTCAGTTTTCGCAAATAATTTCAGGGCTCTATCCTTTATGTATTTTTTGATGGGATCAATCTTGAGGTCCTTGAGGATGTCATTCGTCCTAATGTATACTTTGAAATTGTTATACTATATAAATTGCTCAACTCAACTATATAATCAACTTAGTAATTAATCACTTCACACACGCCAGCTTATATATAACATATTAGAAGAAAAACTCAAAGTGCTGATTAACATTACTTAAAACAAACAAAATAATTATTTTGATTAATTACAAAATTACAAGAAAAATTAATCTAAAATAGCATTTAAAACAATGTCATCTAGTGGAACCAAATGTGGACGAAAATGCCAAAAAATGAGTAAAAGTGCTAAATAACAGCACTTAAAATAGCGGAAAAATCAACAATTTCTGTAGAATGGTTATGTATTAGTATTTTTAAGATATTGCTTAAGCTGATTGTTATACATTTAAAGATGGGCCCAGCTTTATCATCGTATTGCTTTATTTTTTCATGTTTCTAATTTCAAATATCAAGTTATATTATATCTTAAAGCTGCGAGAATCTTGTAGTCTTTATTATAATATATTTGTTATTTTTTTCTGAGTACTATTATTTTTTTTTAATTCTATTAAACTATTACATAGTTTTATAAAGTGATGGTATTTAAACTAGGATCTATTTTGACATTAACGTTAATAATAGAGTGTGCACATTTTTTCTATATATTTTACTTACTCCATTTAAATTTTTGTAGTGCTCCCAAAGTACTACTGGTATCATCAGAGATTCTTATGCACACTTGCCCCATCCTTATGAGCATAAAATATTGTCAGTTTGAAAATAAGTTCCATATCGTATAAGTTGTGATATGGAAGATATAAGTCACTTGCATACTTTTAATTATCTTAATCTTTCGTTAGAGCCCGGGACAGAGACCCAAGAGACTTATTCATTGAATTAGTTAGTTAGATTTAGTTAATTAACTAATTATAATTAACATGATTAGCTTATGCTCAGGAATATCTCAAGTTATCAACATCTTTTGAAAATTTAAAAGTTAGGTTAGAGGTTA